TCAATAAATTGCTCTTATTATTGCTATTTTATCAATAGTTGCCTGTCAGTTAGTAAGCAGTCACTAGTAGTAGCAACAGTAATTTTTTATTAGTTCTTATTTTTACCGCCCAAGGTAACAGAGGCTATTTATTTAAAAATTAAAGCTAGAACTCGGATGAAAGGTAACTGAAGCTCTATTCAAGAATTAAAGGGCTGGGGATGTAGTTCAGTTGGTAGAGTGCTTGCCTCACATGCACAAAGCCCTGGGTTCAACCCCTAGCACCAGAAAAAAATAAAAAAATAAAGCTAGAATTCTCATCACTTTTTTAAGGATTTGCATTTAAATCTCAAAAAGGATTCCCTTTAATAATCACAGGTTGAGTAGCGTTTATCAAGAAATTTGCAGGAGAAAAGAGCCAAGATTTCTGTGGAATGGCAGTCAGTTTGTACCATTGTTATGTATAAAACCAAGAAGTAGGCATTTTTCTTACAGCACTCGACTCATAGAAACATTGCTTAGCACAAATGGGGAACTATTGCAGCTTACCGAGTAAAATCAACATCTTTTTGATATAAATGTCAATCTTTTGTTGAGTAACACTGTAATAACTAACTATAAATATAAGGAAGTAGTAAATTGCTCTGGAAAACATTGCATTTTTCTGTTTGTTCAGTTTCTTTCTTTCTTTCTTTCTTTCTTTCTTTCTTTCTTTCTTTCTTTCTTTCTTTCTTTCTTTCTTTCTTTCATTCTTGTTTTCCTATAAAGCGGTGCCACCCAAACTATAATGTGCATATGAATTACCCCAGGATTCTGTTACAAAGCCAAAGCCGTGTGGTCTGGACTGGATGCTGCAGATCATAAGATCTCACCTTGAGAAGCTAGGCAGTGGCTGTACTTATATGATCACATTCCTGAGTATTTTTAACAATATCATGTTTATTTTGGGAGGCACAAGCCTACTGAGAAACAGACCAGAAGACATTTGTACCAACGCTGAAGCATTTGGCAATCTAATGTGCAATACAAACCTGGCTGGAGGAGCTCAAGTGGCTTTGGACCTGTCTGGGTTTCTCAAACTACCTGCCAGATAATGGCCACTTCTGACAAAGCTTCTGGTCTTTCTGAAGAAGCCCAGGTTTTATTTCTATAGCCTCTTATATTAAGAATATGGCAATGGGGCTCTCCCCATCCACAGGAATCAGTTGGGTTAAGGATCACCGAAGTACCAAAATGCTTTTCCTTCCATTTTTCACGATTTTAAAAGTCTCAAATTTGAGGAGACTTCTTTTTGTTTTGCAATCTTTTCTACATCTGGAGTTATTTAAAATTAAAAAGTTTAAAAAAATCTAAAAAGTCTAAAATCCTAGTATTTCCTACATCTCTTGAAAACCCTTATTTGTCCCCATAGAGTATTTTCCTAACATTTGCACTGTTTACTTTTTCATTCTCATCCTAATAAGTGCTGATCAGACTCCCCTCAGAATTCTTGAGACAACACCTGGACTTTAGTCAGGGGAATGTTAAACCTACCCTCTTGCTTTTTGGGGAAAGAAAATCAGAAATCTTCCCTCAGTCTCTAGATACTGCGGACTTGAAAAAAAAAAAAGTACACATAGACTGAATATATCATGCTGCTTATTTTTAACCTCTTTTCCAGTAAAATATTGTTTTCTAAAATGATTGTGTCAATTTTAGCTAGAAAAACCGGCACATGCCTCTAATCGCAGCTACTCAGGAGGCTGAGGCAGAAGGATCCCAAGTTCAAGACCAGACTCAGCAATTTAGAGACACACTGTCTCAAAATAAAAAAAATAGGGGCATGTGGGTCAGTGGTGGAGCACCCCTGGGTTTAATCCTTAGTACTGTAAAAAGAAAATTTTATGTAAGTTTTAAAAAATGGAATTTATATATTATTTCCTTTTATATTGGTCATAGCACCCAAACAAGGCTGAGCACAGGGAAATGACATTTGTCACAAGACAGATCAGTTTACTAATCCAAGCAAATAGATAGACCCTGTAACCTTCTTCTAGAGTCAGTGTCTTTTTATTTATTTGTTTGTTTATTTTTGACACTGGGTTGAACACATGGCACTTTACCCCAAGCTACATTCCCAGTCCTTTTTATTTTGAGACAATGTCTCTGTAAATTGCTGAGGCTAGTCTTGAACTTGGGATCCTTCTGTCTCAGTCTCTGGAGTTGCTGAAATTACAGATGTGTGCTAGCATGCTCAGTCAGAGTCAGTGTCTTCTTAATAATGAATACTTAATCCACAGATTTTCCTTCAGAAAATAGGCCTAATCCATGGTATTCTCCCAAATAAGCAGAAAAATCCAGCCTAAATTAGAGTGTCTCAGAGTTCCTTAGAATCCTATGACATGAGATTCCAGTCACAAGCTCTGGACTCACATCCCCTTGATTCTAATCAGGGTCCCACCATGAATCCACACAAAGCATCTAGCAAAGTCAGTGGAACACACCAACTTCTCAATAAACATTAGAGATTACGATCCTTCCTCAGGTAAAGTGGAGGAAACCAGAGATGATAGGCAGAGAATCAGTTAGATTAAAAGATTGAGTTCCATAAAGCTACATTTTCAGTTGAGTAAAGATAAAGGAGGAGATGCAAAAAAAAAAAAAAAAAAAAAAAAAAGTTGTCTCCTTATCTCAGTTTCCCCAGGATTGAAGAAATTTGCAAGATTTGCCTCAAATGCCACTAAATTGCTGTATAACCATTGATTTTATTCAAATACTAAATACTTTTTTTATTTCTAAAGAGAATTCAAAAGGGAGAGAGAGGGAGGAAAGAAGAAAGAAATAAACGAAGGAAGGAAAGAAAGAAGAGAGAGGAAAGGGAGATAGGAGCCCCAGCTTTTGGGATGTATCCATTTCTTCCGCTTTTTGATGTGAATAATTACTCATTGGTGTTAATGAGTAATCAGAAAAGGATAGCAGGTATGGGGGAAAAACTGTTCACCAATAAATAAGACCATGAGGTACAGTAGAATTTGAGTTAGCACAATAGCCAGTGCACGGAAGCTCTCTGTGCAATCAGAGAAAGATCTATCTGTAGGTGCCAATGGTATTTCCAAAGCATTTTTTTTTTTCTTCTGCCTCACAGCCCTTCAGGGACCCAGTTCCTTAGCACACATTTCTCCAAACTTTCCTGGGCCCATTGACACTTTTATTATTCAAAGTTCTGCAATATTTACTTCTAGTCGCTCACCTCTTAGAACAAGGTGGGGCACAAATATCATTCATATTTTAGAGATGAAGAAAATAAGGCACTGTTATGTTCAATAACTTGATCTCAGTTATAAAGCTGATCTCTGAGAGAGAGGCCAAGTGCATAGCCACTTTCCCAAATCCAAATTCAGAGGAGGTACTAGTTCTGATCCTACTTGCCTTTGAATGCCTATCTGTAGCTGGGATAGGTAACTGGCCCAGACCCATGCTCTCAGCTGATTCTCAAAGGTCACAGATGGCCAGATGTTCAAGGATCTCGCCCCTTTATACACTAGGACCTCCTTGCACTTCTAGCAACTAGGACTTCTGTGCAGGAGCCTGTAAGGTTGCCCCTCCAGAATCAGACTCACTTCCCACATCCTCAGCAGGGGAACCAGGAGGGAACCAGGACGGAAGAGGCTACGTAGCAGCCTGCACTGTTTGTTATTTCATTACTGAGCTGGCAAGGATGGAAGTTGTTGATTTACCATTAGAAGCAGCTTGCTTCTTCAAATATTAATATTAATAACTACAATACCCGAACACATGAAAAGACCTTTTCATCTTCAAAGCACTTTTCAGACATTAACTCATTAGCTCTCCTTTCCTCTCTATTCAGGAACACCAGGTAAGTAGAGTCTCAACAGTAACAGTGGCTGCCCTCCCCGCAGAATCCATATCTACCGAGGGTTTTCTCTTGAGATTAAAAAAAAAAAAAAAAGGAGGTGAAGCAACCCAGAACCACAACTGATGAAAGGGTTAAAGTGTCAGCAATTCTACAAATCAAATGGAGCTGCCAGAGTTATCATTTTAGGATCTGGATTTCCTGTTGTTTAACAAATGCCTCCATGCCCGCCACCCCACCCCATGCACGCCTGCAGCAGCGGTATAAAGTAGGAAGAAAAATGGCCTTGGAATTAAAAAGTAAAAGAAGAAAGCTAATGAAGAAAACCTTGAACGCCTTGATCTCAGTAACCCAGCATCTTTCATACCATTCGCTCACTGAAAATACTACTTTCAAAGGCGGTAACAGAAACACTTTTAACAGTAGATGAGAAGACACATACAAAGTGGAATTGCTGGATACAACCAGTGAATGAAGAGAAATTGCCACTCGCGCAGCCCCTGCTTCTCTGTACTGATCGCTGGAGTCCAGCCCTCCAACACTGGGAAGAATGCTCCCCTGAGTGGAGACTCCCCCTGCCTACCCACATGCACCACATTGCAACTTCAGTCCAAAGGATTGGTAGGTAGACCCGTGGGGAACGGGAGTCCAAAGACAGGGTGGGAGGAACACCCTACACGCTAGTTTGCCTTATAAGACTCAAACCTGCAGCACTTTCCTTTCTATAAAAGCATTTCATTAAGATGCTAGGGAAAAGAAAAAAGTAAAACAATAGGCACTAGTAGTGAGAGAGGAAAAAGAAAGGCATTTCTATGTTGAACTACAGTTTTATTTCTTTGGAAGTGCTGCAGTCTGGGAAGAAAACTCAGAGTTTGTGACAAGTGATCTGCGAAGATCTAAAATGTGCATGATTTTGCTTTTTTTTTTTTTTTTTTTTTTTGATATGTAATCTTGATTTCACACTATTCTAAGAAGATAAGAACGTATTTTTGAAAAATAGTATTAAATAATTGAATGGATGATTATAGAAAGATTTTTAAAAAGAGGAAGAGAAAACTGCTTGTATCCTGAAAGTTTCCATTAATTTTCTTTTTAATTACACAAGGTGAGGGGCAAGAAAAAGAAAACGGAATGAAAAGTTTTAAGCAGAAACTCACACCTCACTTACTACTTTGCCGGAGAGACAGTGAAGAATAGCTACGGAGCGAGGTTTCCTCAAGGTCTGCGGTCTCTTTCCAACTACCTGCGGGAATCCTCCGCTTCGAGGCTAAAGAGGATGCAAAGACCACAATGTTCCTAATAGAGCTGCCTCTTAAATTGGGGGGTGTGGTCAAGTCAGGGAAAGCTAGAGAAAAGGCGGTCTTCCATTAGCCCTGGCACCAGGGTAGCATTCAGTACCACAGGCACTATGGTTCAAAGGGACTTGGGCAACACCAAATCACACCTTATTTTTTATCCTTCAAATTATTCTCCAGTTAAATATAATTCAGCCTTGGGGAGAAGTGATGAGGGAGATGAAAAAAAGGGAATTCTGTAGGATCACACTGATTCTTATCATTAGGGATGCATTAGATTTACTTTCTCCTGGACATGTGAATATTCATGCTCCACATTGCTTAATGGAGATTCACTAACTCAGGAAGGGCTTAGGAGGGAAGGAGCTGCTGTAAGACCTGTTCAAGGAATTAACAGCCAGCAGAACAGCTTTCGCCCACTCAGCTGCTCAAACTTGTTTCTATTAAACTGATATGAAATGCCATATTTCCTAAGGAGAAGAAAATAATTACAGTTATGTGTCAGTGACCTGGGATACGTTCTAAGAAATGCATCAGTCAGCAGCTTTGCCTTATGTGAGCATCATAGGATGACAGATTAAGATGGCTGTGACCAATTTGATCTTATGGGTCCACCTGGTGTATGCATTCCATCTTTGAATGTATATGTAGACATGTGGCACATGACTGCACATGGAAGAGAGCTGACAGAATAGGGAGTTGGGACTTCTGGAAAGTAAAACTAAAATGCCCTCTTTACATGAGTCTGGAGTTAGGTAATCTCTAAAACAGATGAGCATTAATGGTCCCAATTCAGGGCCCATAGTGTAGGAATAAAAAGATACATATATCCATATATGTTTCATTAAGTAAGAGTAAACACTATGAAAGTCTTCCATTTGCTCTAGGTAAAAATATAATGCATCATATTCACACATTCTGGATGGTGGTAACAATGTTGCTACTATGTAATCTCATTTCTAAGAATAGGGTTATTTCATTATGAAAAAAAATTTAAGTTAATATTTACCTGCTAAATCTAAAGCTACTTTCCTAATATTCCATTTACTTTGAGTAATAGATGAGAGATCAAATTTATCATGGTTGACTCCTTTTCATTTTTAATAGATACAAATGCTCAACTTTGAAAGTCCATAAAAGTCTAATGAATGTCATTCAAAGCAATGCCATCCTATCCTTCATTGTATAAAGTTAGCAATGCTGTTAAGATAACATCTTATTTGAAGTAAAATTTTATAGCTTATATTTTGCCTTTACACGTTAACATGGCTTGGGGAAAAAAGAAGAGAGAGTGCTATTGATTCCATTTAGTTTAATAAATGTTTGTACTAAGCACTGTAGATCTACCAACCTCATTCTATCATGGGAAGAAAAACACATCAATCAATCAGTCACCTCCATAAAGTGCAATGCATGCTGTGAGAGAAGTCTGTAAATGTTGAGGAATTGTCTATCTATCCCTAAAGCCCAGTTGGTTTTGGCATACTACCCCCATGTAAAAAGTACATGGTCAATGGGCATGGTGGCACACAACTGTAATCCCAGCTGCTCAGGAGGCTGAGGCAGGAGAATCATAAATTCAAAGCCAGCCTCAGAGACTTAGGTAAGCAATTTAATGAGACCCTGTCTCAAAATTAAAAATAAAAAAGGGTTGGGGATGTGGCTCAGTGGTTAAGTATCCCTGGTATCAGTCCCTGGTACCAAAAATAAAATAAAATAAAATAAAAAGTGCATAGTCAATTAATTACATCAGCCACAACTAGTTACAGTTGTATTCACTATGTTTGAAAAATAATTGGAAAAAAAATTGAGAGACAAGATTTGAATTCTTGCCCATATTGTGATTAGTGGGGGATCTGGAATTAGAGTTGCCCACAAAGAGTTACGTAGATAGTGATCACTTAAGACATTAACTCCATTCTCTGCTACTACCTATCACGGTATAAACTGGAAATCCAAAAGATGCAAAATAAGCCACTGTTGCCATAAATTGCCTCACAAATGCCCATGTAAACAGATAAATTTTGTTTTAAGCAGCATCTTTAGAAATTCATTACAAGATGTGTATCCACATGAAAAAGAATGAAGCTGGACTCTTACCTCCCACCATTTACAAAAATTATTTCAAAATGGATCAAAGACCTGAACATAAGAGCTAAGGTTATAAAACTCTTTGAAGAAAATGTAAGAGGAGATTTCATGACATTGGATTTGTCAATGGTTTCCTTGGATATAACACCAAAAATAAAGGTGAAAAAAATAGATTAGTTGCACTTCATCAAAATTAAACATTTTGCCAGGCATGGTGGTACACATCTGTAATACCAGCTACTAGAGTGGCTAAGGGAGGAGGATTGCAAATTTGAGGCTAGTCTCTGCAACATGGGGAGACCCTGTCTCAAAATAAAAAAATAAAATGGCTGGGATGACAGAGTGCTCAAGTACCACACACACACAATCACACACACACACACACACACACACACACACATACATGTAAATTGTAAGTCAAAAGGCACTCTCATAGTGAAAAGGAGCTGGGATGAGGCCCCCCTCCTGTAATCCCAGCTACTAGAGAAGCTGAGGCAAGAGAATAGCAAGTTTGAGGCCAATCTGGGCATTTTTTCAAGAATTTGTCTCAAAATAAAAGAAGAAGGGCTAAGAATGTAGCTCAGCAGTAAAGCACTTGCCTAGCATGTGCAAGACCCTTGGAAAGATCACCAGTATAGAAAGAAATAAAAAATAAAATAAAAATAAAATCCATAGACTGACAGAAAATCTTTACAAATCATATATTTAATAAGGAATTAATATTCAGAATATATAAAGAACTCCTACAATTTAACCACAAAACTGACTTGTTTAAAAAAAAAAAAACAACAGGAAAAGACTAGAGCACACATTTCTCCAAAGATACAAAAATGGCCAATAAGCACATGAAAACATCATCAGCATATTGTAATACATATTGTTAGAGAAATTCAATCAAAACCACAAGGAGACTCCAATGCATTAGGATTCCTATTATGCAAGAAACAGAAAATGATAGTGAGGACATAGAGAAATTTAACTCTGTGTGTTGCTGGGGAGAATGTAAAATGGCACAACCACTGTGAAAAGCAGTATAGTTGTTCCTTAAAATAATAAAGCAGAATCACCATACATGTCAGCTATTTCATTTCTAGATACACAGCCCAAAAAACTGAAAGCAGAAACTTAAGCAGATACTTGTACAACAATATTCATAGCAGCATGACTCCCAATAGTCAAAAGGTTGAAAAAACATGCATGTCCATGTATACCTATGGTGGAATATTATTCAGCCCTAAAGAATGGGATTTTGACACAAGCTACAACATGGATGAACTAAGGACCATGTGTTAGATGAAATAAACCAGACACAAAAGGTCAAATATTGCATAATTTCACTTATTTAAATTACCTACAATAGATAGAAAGTGCAATAGAAGTTAACAGGGATTAGAGGAGGGGGAAAACTAGGAGTCGGAGTTTCATGGAGACAGTTATTTATAGGGATAATGAAAAAGTTCTAAAGGTGAATGGCATTGATGGTTGTACAACATGCAAATACACTTAATGCACAGAACCGCACACTTAAAAATGGTTATGATGGTATCACCTAAGAAGAAAAGGAAGGTAAATTCCTAGAATCCTAGCTTTACAAAGATCCTGGGCTCTTCCACCTTTTTCTTACTCCAACCTCTCAAAATCCAGGAGTCCTATTCAAAGCAATTTGTAATGATCTTTGTTGTTGTTGTTGTTGCTGCTGCTGGCAATATTGGTGAATCTAGAGGCACTACCACTGACCTCCATTGCCAGCCCTTCTTATTTTTTTTCTTTTTTATTTTGGGACAAGTACTTGCCAAGTTACCCAGACTGACCTTGAACTTGTGATCCTCCTATCTCAGTCTCCTTAGTAGCTTTCCTGGGTATAAGGAATCTTGTGAAGCATCAAAAGGCAGTTTTCTAAGTGAGAGGGAATTAAAAATGAGATATTATGTAAAGTGCAATAAATAGCTAATGTTTTGTTTCTCTTTAAATGTATTGCCAATCTTCATCTCAAATATAAGTCCTTTTGTGTGGGGAGAGTGACTTCAAGAATCATTACAAGTCAGGAGTGGTGGCGTGGTGGCACATGCCTGTAATCCCAGCAGGATCTAAATAAACTATCAAACAGTGGAGGTAAGATCCAGACACTATACTAAGCACAGTTGTCACCAAATATAGAAGACGCCCCAGAAGATAAGATGAAAGGAAAGCAAGGAGCTGAGAACCTTTGCTTTTCACACTCCAGCTCTGGAACTTCTTATCCTCTACTTCGTAATGAATCGTTCTCATTTCCATGATCAAAAGCCAAGCCTCCGTCTTGAGACCCAGATGGAACTGCAGTGGCACACATATGAGCGCTCACATCTGGCACCCAGGTGCTTGTCCTTCTGTGAGTGCCAGATTGCCTATCTATGGAGACGCTGGATTCCTTGGCAGAGTCCTCCCAGGACCCCATAATGTGTTGCTCCATTATTGTGGCATCAATGTGCTGTTTTTAACTTCCTTTCTGCAATGTTAAATGGGCCAGGGCTAGGGCCCCAGATGGGTCCCTTGCAAAACCTCTAGTACAAGGTCTGTCAAAGATACTTCTCCATCCTGCTTCTACTGGGGCTGCTGAGCATCCTTTGGAGCCCACTAATTCAGACAGCCTCAAGAGTACGGATGATTGTGGGGCATAGGATAGCCCGCTGGAAACCCATCTCTTACCACCTCTTTGGCCCCTGTTCCTTTCTCTGTACTTTATGTCACTCTATCCCCCTGGTCCTTTCCTACCTCAAAATATCCTTCAATTCTCCACTCAGTCAATCTAACTCCTGCACAGTTTTCAGTCTCGATTACAAGATGATTATGTGATTGTAGCTT